TTTTAAAAGGCTTACTGGGACACCATCAGGGCCTGGACTATAAGATTGACGAAAATGCCGAATCGCAACAGTCACATCCCACAAAGTGAAAGTCATATTTTCTAGAACTGCCCCGGTCAATGACTGGATGGTCGGAAGCGGATTGTTCGAGTCAGTATCAGTATCAGTATCAGTATATTTCAGGGAAATTAGGTGTGTACCTTTGAAATCCCTATTGGTTACATGCAGACGATTTATATGGAGGAAATGGAAAGGAAGTAACATGAAAGAAATGCAAGGGGAATAGCAAAAACTGTACAAATGAACACAGAATGTCATGCGTTAACAGAGTTCAGAGGCACATTAATTTGCTTTGTTGGTCAAAATACAGCGTACAGTTGAGGCACACTTAAGACACGGGAAAAGATTTAAAATAGTATTGTCTACAGGCAGCATGGTGAAAGCGAGCAACGGCGTGCGACGTGGTCCAAAGCAGTAAATTACATAAACTTATGTTACTTAAATGTTGGTAGTTGCATCGTCATAACACTTATTTGTCAGTGTTGGCTATCAAGGTGGCGGTAGACGCGGTTCGCGCTCCACTGGCGATCTAGCCTCCGCTTAAAAGTATCTACGGATCCCGACATAACAACATCCTCAGGCAAGGCATTCCAAGCTGCAACCACTCTGTTGGAGAAGAGGAACTTTCGTGTGTCTAGCCGGGCACCGGTCACACGCAGTTTGAGTGGATGGCCTCTCAGGTTAGTCATAGTCGCAAACTCGAAGAAGTCTCCTGATGCGAGGCAGCAGCTCTGATTGCGCACGATGCGGAAAGCTTGTATCAGGTCCCCACGTAGCAGTCTGTAACTCAAAGGAAAGAGGTCAAGATTAGCTAATGTGTTTCGTAGGGTAGTGGCCACTGCCCAGATACAAGTTTCGTTGCTCGCCGTTGAACTTTTTCGAGTATGCCCAAGTCTTTAGCGGTCCAGGGTCGCCATGCTTGGATAGCAAACTCCAGATGCGCTCGCACGAAAGTTTGAAAGACCTTGGCGAAGCAGTCTTCATCAAAGGAGGAGAACGCCCGTTTGACAAGGTATAGCATGGACATCGCCGAATTGGCCACCTCTGAACATTGCAGCGAAGGCTAAAGCGAGGTTGTGATCCATACACCCAAGTCCTTCTGGGCGTCGACTTCTTGCAGTGGTTTGCCAGTCAGACGGTAGACCGTGTGGTTAGGAGAACTGGTTCTGCCGACGCGTAGGAAAGTACACTTGTTTACGTTGAACGGTAGAAGCCAGTCTTTCGACCATTGCTCGAGGTGGTCCAGACTTGTCTGCAGTCGCGCCTCGTCAACTTCGCTTCGTATGGTACTCCAGATCTTTATGTCATCGGCAAACATTGCGACATCGAAATTCAGTTCGTTTGCGCAGTCATTGACGTATACGAGGAACAGCGTAGGGCCAAGAACATAGCCTTGGGGAACACCACTCTTAACGGCAACCTCGGCAGATTCTTGGTCACCGGCGTGGACGGCTTGAGAGCGGCCGATTAAAAAGCTCCGAATCCACATCAGAAGCTTACCCCGCACTCCTGCACGTCTAAGTTTGTATAGAAGGCGGTGGTGAGGCACACTATCGAAGGCCTTTTTAAAGTCGATATAGATGGCATGCACCATATCTCCTCTATCAACAGCCCTAGTCCAGTGTTCCAGACAGTAGAGCAGGTTTGTCACACAGGATCTGCCTTTTCGGAATCCATGCTGAGAATCGGAAAGCAAATGGTTTTGTTCAAGGACCTGCATTAGTTGTTGCTTTATTATCTTCTCCATAATCTTACAGCAAATGGAGGTGAGGCTGACCGGTCTGTAATTGTTCGCAGACACCCGACTTCCGCCCTTGTACAGCGGCGTAATCCACGCCGACTTCCAGTCGGGTGGCAGATATCCGGTCTCGAAGGATGTATGGAAAAGCATGGAGGGTGGTTTAGACAACTCACCGGCGAGTTCCTTTAAAATCTTCGCTGGAATCTCATCGGGACCTGGTGATTTGGATTCCTTTAGCCTCAGCAACTCCGTCAGAACCATACCCTCACTGAACTGGACGGTCTCTATAATTGGGGTGTCTTCGAATGATTGAAGGGCCGAAGGGTTTAATCCTGTTTCGCTACTAAAAACAGACCGAAAAAATTCTGAAAGGTGATCAGCTTTCGCCCTGTCGTCAGTGAGATGTTCGCCTTTAGCAGTCCTTATCATGGGTATTGGGTCCTTGTTCCGCGTGCACTGCCTAATGTAACCGTAGAATAATTTAGGGTTCTCCGCGGCACGGTTAAGCAGATCCCGTTCGAATTCCTTTCTGTTTTTGAGGATAAGACCCTTGACTCGATTTCTTTGAATTTTGTAGGCGCATATAGATGTGGGGCTCCTGTCATAAAGCAATTTTTTCCACAGCCGTCGTTTTTTATTCACTTAATTCTTCAAGGCTTGCGTAAGCCATCGAGATCTGTCGGTTAAACGCTTCCGTGAAAGCGGACAGTGATTTACGATCAGCTCGTGCAGAATTTCTTGGAACCGTTGCCAGTCTTCGAGTATGCCCCCAACAAACATGGACTCCCACTCAATGCGTAAAATTTCAGCCCTCATTTGATCGAAATCCCCGCGCCAAAGGTTTCTTCTAACTGTCCCGGGTTTCTTGGGCATGGAAAAAAGCGAGTAATCCCATAGAAGAATGATGTGGTCACTTTTACCTAAGGGGGATAGGCATGAGACCTCATCAATGCTGTCCTGTGACTTTGTAAGGACAAGATCAAGGCAGTTGGCTTGTTGGCCTTCGCGTACTCTAGTTGGTAACATGACGTGTTGAGTGAAAAATAGCTTCAATGCCGTGTTCAGAAAACTCCTATCGAAGGTCTATTTTGAGCTATTTGCATGAGTTAAGCTCCAGTCAATATGGGGCGCGTTAAAGTCGCCCATGATTAGGATATCCGGCCGCATAGCGAACTTTTCGAGCTCCTCCAGCAGGCGAGCGTCGGCCATGTTGTCCCGTCTCGGCGGTCGATAAACTGTCAGGACATCGAGGCTAGGCGAGCTCGGCACTTTAATAGACAACCAGATTGCCTCGGAACTGCACGAAAAGTTATCGGTCTTGTCTGATACATTTAGCCCATTTTTTACATACGTTAGTACGCCTCCTCCCTGACGCCCTTCCCTATCCCTTCTAAACATCTGGTAGTCAGGCAAGGCCAGCTCACGGTCGTCCATGTGTTGGATCAACCAGGTTTCTGTTAGAGAGATTACGTCAGGGGATAGGTCGCAGAGGTGGATCTTCAGCTCGTCGAACTTTGATAGCAAACTCTGCACGTTGGTGTACAAGAATTTCAATTTCCGGCTGACGGAAGATGTGGTTACATTTGGGTTAACGCCTTTACTTAATATGTCGGCTGAGCGGTCATTCGGACAGGATCTGTCCAAAGGAAAAGTGACGGACGCCGCCGTACTTGGTTGTTGTATATTACTAAATTGTTCTCCCCCTCGCTGCGCCTCTTTCTTAGTTCTAGAACCAGCTGACGACGCTTGAGCCGTTCGGCTGGCGAGTAGTCCGGTTGAAAAAAAAAACACCGGGGTTGGAGCCTTTAATCCTGAATCGCCTGGAGTAAATGAGACTGGCTTGGTCGCTGCTGGTCAGCACAACTTTAAGAGGCCGGGGTCGAGTGGCCATTGATGGATTATCTGCTCGTTTTCCAAGGCGGAAGGCTTTGATCACTTTAATAGCCTCCGTGGGTTCCAAAATATTATTGTGAAGACCTTGGAAGAGTGATAGGTCTTCCGAAATTCGTTCCTTGGGAGTAATTGCAGTTGATTCAGGGAGTCCCTGAATAATAAGACATTGATCTCTGTCGGTCTCTTTTTTAATTTCTACGGAATTGTGGTTCCCTAAATGACGTAACCCCCTGGGACTACGCGCTGGTGATGGCGGAGCAGATGCGCGTACGCCGTCTGATTGTTTGACTCTTCAATAAACGTTTTGGACAGGAAATCATTGAAGCTATCAGCGGTTAACTGGGCATTAACTATGGGATTTCCGAGAGCGTCTCGGAGGATGGGATGCTGCGTCTTTCTGTGTGTTCGTATTTTTCTAGAGAAAAGTTTCGAGACATTTAACGAATGGTTTTCGGTAAACTGGACCCCGTCGGCTAGCTGTTTTTCTTCAGACAATCTCTTAGCCCGAACAAAAATATCACGAATCAAGGGCAGGACAGAAACATCGTTCTGAAGATGGAAACGACGAAAGGGTTAGGGTAGGAAAACCTCATCCCCAACATTAATAATTTTATTACGGGGGACAAAACATAAATAAATAAATAAATTTTAATTTACTGCCAGTTTACAGGCATAGTCAAGGGAAGCGATTAAACACAAATCCGACCAGCAGTGAAGAATAAACTCCTGAGCTTAAGGCATAAAAATATAGTTGATGGTGGTTTTTGTGGTTTGGAGGGCTCAGGAGAAAAATAATTGTCGGCGGTGGTAGAACATCGACCGTCAAGAAGGGGGGAGGTTGCACGGTATCGGATATTATCGGACGTCAAATTCCTTTCATGAAGTTGGAGATAGTCAAAGTAGAGGCGTTGAGGAACAGCTGGTGAGATCGGCCATAGTGTACAGAGACCACAAATGCCATCGCTACGGTACAGTCGATCAGTAGATTCAGCACCCAAAATTTGTGGGAGCTTTTCTGAATGCAAAAATCGAGTAATAGTTCTCTTAAATAAAGGAAAATTTTGCAGAGTTTTCACACTCACGGGTAGTTAATTCCAAATAGCAATTGCATTTACAGAAAAGAACCGACGATATTTAACAGTACGTGCCAGAGGAAGAAATAAAAAGACCTCACGGTGACTGTTACGTCGTGGGTGGATATGATGTCTTAAAGAGGTGAGCGGGTTAAATGT